TTAGAAAAGAGTATATTCCACGTACTTGCATTTCTTTCATCTTGTTTCTCTTTTCTCAGTTCTCTGAAGAAGAGCTCACTTTCATTAAAATAGGAAAAAATTTCAATACTATCCCTGGAGAATTGTTTCAGTACTCCAGCTCTATGAAAAAATGGAGTAATTGAAAGTTCTCATTATGATGATTTATTGTTTTCAATCTTATTTCTTCCTTTCTGAGTTCCTGTCTGCCCCCTTTTCTCTTTTGGAAATAGAATAATCATAGAAAATTTTTATCATCCTGAAGTAAAATTTCATGAATATGTTTATCAGGAAACGCCATTCTTCATGATTAGAAGCAAAGAGATACTTGTTTCTACTTTCTAGAGAACTGGTGCCGATTAGCTAATATTAATTATAAATTAAAGAGTTTGTAAATGTTCAAATGGCTTTTGAATAACCACTTCTAATTTTCCTCTTTTTGTGCACAGATTGGAGCAATCATATCAGGTATTCAGCCTGGATTAACTATGGTTGTTGGTCCACCAGGAACAGGGAAAACTGATACGGCAGTGCAAATATTGAATGTCCTCTATCACAATTGTCCATCCCAGAGAACATTGATAATTACTCATTCTAATCAAGCTTTGAATGACCTTTTTGAGAAAATAATGGAGGTAGTGTATTCATTTTAATTGATGCAATTCTTTTCTTCCATCCTGCATTAAGCTTATGCTCTGTAAAATTGCATATATTAGTGCAAATTTATTTGATCTATGTTACTGTGTTTCAGAGAGATGTGCCTGCTCGCTATCTTCTTCGTCTTGGTCAGGGTGAGCAAGAGCTAGCAACCGATCTGGACTTCAGTAGGCAGGGCCGTGTGAATGCAATGCTAGTTCGACGGCTGGAACTGCTTAGTGAGGTGGAGAGGCTTGCAAGATCCCTACAACTTCCCGAAGACGTAGGGTATACCTGTGAAACCGCTGGATATTTTTGGTTGCTCCATGTATATTCACGCTGGGAGCAATTCCTTGATGCTTGTGCGGGTAATGAAGATAAGCCAGCATTTGTCCAAGACCACTTCCCTTTCAAAGAGTTATTCTCCAACACCCCTCAGGCAGTCTTTACTGGCCAATCATTTGAGAAAGACATGCGAGCAGCCCAGGGGTGCTTTCATCATCTTAAGACTATGTTCCAAGAGCTTGAAGAGTGCAGGGCATTTGAATTGCTCAAATCCACAGCTGACCGGGCAAATTACCTGATGACCAAGCAAGCAAAGATTGTGGCAATGACATGTACCCATGCAGCCCTAAAGAGAAAAGATTTTCTTCAACTTGGTTTCAAGTATGACAATTTATTGATGGAAGAAAGTGCTCAGATTCTGGAGATTGAAACTTTCATCCCAATGTTACTCCAAAGGCAGGAGGACGGTTATGCACGGCTGAAACGCTGCATATTGATTGGTGATCATCACCAGCTGCCTCCTGTTGTGAAAAATATGGCTTTCCAAAAGTACAGCCATATGGATCAAAGTTTGTTTACCAGATTTGTTCGACTGGGCATTCCTTACATTGAGCTTAATGCCCAGGGTAGAGCCAGGCCAAGTATAGCACAACTTTATAACTGGAGGTACCGGGATTTGGGGGACCTTCCTTCTGTGAAAGAGGAAGCTATCTTCCATAGAGCAAATGCTGGATTTTCCTATGATTACCAATTAGTGGATGTACCTGACTATCATGGGAGAGGTGAGTCTGCTCCCTCTCCTTGGTTTTATCAAAATGAAGGCGAAGCTGAATATGTTGTCAGTGTCTATATATACATGCGATTGCTTGGCTACCCTGCGAATAAAATTTCCATCTTGACTACTACAATGGTCAGAAGTTTCTGATCCGTGATGTTATTAACAGACGATGCCTTCCATACGATTTTATTGGTCCACCGAGTAAGGTTAGTTATTGCTGATTTTACCTCTCATTAAGGTGTTCTTTAGATATCATCATTTATGTGGCTTATGGGTAAAACTATAAATTAGCACAGTTATGAATTGTGTTCATTGATATCTATGTCTGCAATCTTGCAAGAGGTTGCCTTCATGCCTTTTTCTTTCTTTCTTTCTTTTTTTGTTGGTCGCAATTTTATGTTCATATAGTGTTTGAATTGTTTATTAATGCCTTCTACAGGTTACCACGGTTGATAAGTTTCAAGGCCAGCAAAACGATTTCATTTTGCTTTCTCTTGTTCGTACCCGCTTTGTCGGTCACCTTCGTGATGTTAGAAGATTGGTGGTTGCCATGTCTCGTGCCCGCCTTGGCTTGTATGTGTTCTGTCGCCTTTCTTTGTTTGAACAGTGTTATGAACTCCAGCCTACCTTCCAGCGTCTGCTTCAAAGACCTGATCATCTTGCTCTAAATTTGAATGAGGGCACATCATTTACTGAACGCCATGTTGATGACATTGGGCATCCCTGTCTTGTCAGTGGTGTTGAGGAGATGGCTAACATAGTTTTTGGGAGAATAGATCAATTACAACAGGCAAGTCTCTGTTTGTCGATATTATCAAGTCCGTTATTTTCGAATTTAGCTTTTAGTGTTTCCAGTGCTCTTTTCAATAATATCAATAGTTTCCTGTTGCAACAACCACAGGAGGTGGGAGTCCTAGGGTCTGGTAATTACTATTACGTGCAACTTTCCATTCCGGCAGTCTCTATCATAAATTCCAAACATTCTTATCTCTTAGATTTTCACATTCTTTTTAATTCTCCAGGCACGAGCCATGTATCAGTACATGACTTATTCCGAACAATTCGTGGGAACACCCGAGGAGCAAAACAGTGAGCATAATCCAATATCCTCAAACCAGGCAATGGAAGTTGATAGAGCGGTGGCTGAAAATTGTGGAACTAATAACAATGTGCATGAAAACAATGGACAGGAAGCTAAAGAAGATGCAGATGGTATTGCAAATGGTCAAGATGGGGCGCTACCATCAGAAGATGAACCGAACACAGAAAATGACACCCAAGTTGGTGCAGATGATGAAAACATGGTGCCCTAGTTAGTTATCCCATTGCCTTTCCTGGAGTTTCAAAGGTAGCCAACATGCATCGGAAAAGAAACAAGCTGCTTTTATCTTTTAACCATAGGGCACCACATCGGAACCTTCGACCGGAGCTGTTGGAGCTATCCAAGTTACTTTTCTTTTTTGAAATTGGGGGTTACATGTTGAAAGTTAAGGGTTATAAATCCTTGTATTCCATGTTTGAAAGCTTCTAGTCTGTAGCTGACAATGCAATGTTTTTTTGAGGATAATGTTTTATACTCGTTTAGATATGCAAACAATTAACAAAGATTGAGATTTCAACTGTGTCAATCAAACTAACCTAGATAATAGGTGATAAAAGTGAAGCTGAAATTGGAAAATTATCTGAGCTTTATTATAAAGTTAAAATTAATAATTTAAATATCTAAGCTTTAGATGGTTTGTATATAAAAAATGATGATTAACAAATTTAGTTGAAACTAAAAATTCGTGAGAAATTAGGTTAAAATCATATATTTTTATATATATTCACCACTTTTATGAATGTATCACCATTTGCTATATTAAATTAGTATACATGGGGTTTTAGTACATAGGTTAAAATATAAGATATACAAAATATTTTATAAGTTAAAATAATAATTTTGAAATATATCAATTTAATTATTTTAATTTTTATATTTTTATTAATATTCTTCTACCATTTAAATTTTTGTTTTGTTAAATTGATATATGACAAAACAATAATGACAATGCTAATTTAACATAAATTATTTTATATTTTACATGTCATAAAAAAAAAAAAATAACCTTTCTCTCTATTGAAATACTGATATAAATGAATTTTAATAATTTAAAATATTTCAAAAATTTTAATGACTTGATAAAATATAAAAATAATTAATTTTAAATTATCAACATTTCAATAAGGAAAAAAAATTTATGTCATCTTAACCATTGTAGTCTTAAACTAAAATGAGTGAATTGATAAAGTTGAGGGGCTAAAAAGTTATTTCTGAAAAAAGAAGTAGATATTAATAACTGGTACTATCAAACGCACCGCTTACAATTTTCCCAAAACGTTTTTGTAAAACCCCCGGCTAGGGATGGCAAACAGGTACAGTTTCGTGGATTTCGCACCGCATCCGCTCTAATTGGAGCGGGGATGGGTATAATTTTAGCGGGTAGTGGGCGGGTGTGGATTTATAAAGTGGTACCCGTCGTGGGTGGTGGGCGGGTAATGGGTTTGAGACATTACCCACCCCGCATCCGCCCGCCCCGCATCCGCCCGCCCAGTTAAATATCTATTAAATTTTGAACCATTATGAATTTAGGTGTAATTTTAGAGACTAATTTATAAATTTTAATATTATATAATATATAACATATAATTTAACTAAATATTAAGGATATTTAGTCTTTAATCTGGTATTTAATTATGAAAATATTTGGCTCTTTGATTAAACCCATAATCCCACTAACCACGTCACTTTCCATGTTCTTTAGCCCATGCTGCCCATCCAAACACAAATTAACCGTACTATAAGCATTAACATCAAAAGCAGCAGTTTCCATGTTCTTTAGCCCCTCAAAACCCATATTAGGCGCACTATGAGCATTAACATCGAAAGCAACACAACAATCCAGCTGCGACTACATGCTCCCTACAATATGTCTCCATAACATTCGTAGAGCCACTCATCTGACAAATTGAAGCATGCGCTGCTACCCCATCACGAACTGTCTGCGAACCAACTCCAACATCTCATTAGTTTGTTGTCAGGCGGGTCTAGATGGGTATGTCGCTAGTGGGTAGTGGGTGTGGGGATGGATTTGAAAATGTACCCGCGTGGGCGAGTGTGGATTTGAAAATTTGTACCCATCATGGGTGGTGGACGGGTAATAGATTAAAAAATAGTAGGTAGATATGGGGATGGGGAAGGGTATCCGCACCCGACCTGCACGGCCCGCTTTTTCCCCGCCAAAACCCATCGAATAAAACAACAAAAGCTCCCTTAATAACTGAGGTTTTTTTGGTTCTTCGGTTTCATAATTATCATCAATCATGACAGGAAAAGCCAAGCCCAAGAAGCACACGGCCAAGGAAATCGCCGCCAAGGTCGACGCTGCTACCACCAACCGTGGCGGCGGCAAAGCCGGATTGGCTGACCGCTCTGGGGTGGAGAAAGGTGGGCATGCCAGATACGAGTGTCCTCTTTGCAAAACAACGGCTCCAGATTTGAAGTCGATGGAGATTCATCATGATGCAAAACACCCCAAGATTCCCTTTGAAGAGTCGAAGCTAGTGGATCGTCATGCTAGTTTTGTTGCCGAGTCTTCTAAGCCTCGTCCTGGTGTTAGGGGCAGCCTTAGAAAATAAATAAATTTGCTGTTTTGGGGATGTTTTGAAATCTGAGTTTGGTTCCTTATTTCCTTTTTTGTTTGTTCTGTAACTATTTGCGATGTTAGTAGCAATGCAATGGCAAAGATAAAAGAGGGGGTTTAGGTGAAAAAAGGTTTATTTTTTGTAATACCTCCCTTGGTGATGATGATTATGATGATGATATATATACTAATCTATCTTGATTATAACGATGACGACGATGAAGATATAGTTCTTCATTTTATGCTAATGAAATGTTTTTATATATATGATCCGTCATATAGTAGTATATGCCTCATTTGTTTGTTTGTTTAATGGTTCAAGAATTTGTTTCTTATGAAATATTAAGAAAATGATTGTTTTGTTTATTTTGGAGGCCTGTGGTAGCTAGGCTTAGAACAATAGCAAGTAGGTGAGTTTCTGTAATAATGCTGAGCATTGTGCATGTTGATGCATTTGGATCCTTTAGTCTCAGATTGCTAAGATGGGATTTAGAGAAGCTAAAAGAGTGTATTTCCAAGATTGGCTTAGTTTGGTTAACTTATTTTGGGATGTTGGATTGAACAGATTCTTTTGATTGACGTTATTAGTTTTCATTTTAGTACAATTGGGATTGGATTTATGAACTTTATGTTATTGCTTACTATGATAGGTTAGAATTAGTACTCGAGTGTGGAAATGTTCTGTTCTTGATCAAAATTTTTCTCTTTTTTTATCCATTGAATTGTACTCCAAAGTCTTGATTGTGATCTTTGTGGTAGGTCATGTCTTGCTGAGAGTTAATTGTGTTGCTGCTAGATTGACGAAAGCTGCATTTCGGTAAGCTTATCTTATTAATCTTTGCTTTTGCATGAATTTTTATATTTTTCTGCAATGTTAGAATGTGATCAATCACTGGTGTTGTTATCTGCTGGTGACTAGGAAGGGTTATTTTATCAGTGGATCTTTGATTTTTTTGATCTGATGATGGTAGTCCACATGGCTTTTTCTTCTTAGATCTTTGATGTTGTTATCTGATTTAGGGTTGTAACTGCGTTTAGTCGGTTTCAAATAGTGAGAAGCTCGAGTTCAACTTGAAACTTGTTTGAAGTTGTTATAATCGAAGGAAAGGGAAAGGTAAAAAAAAAAGGTAATGAAAGAGAAATCCAATTATTGAATTTATGAGATAACAATAATTTAAACAAACTGGATTGTTGACTTCTAATAGGATTTCTCTGCTAAAGAAAAATAAAGAATCCTAAGGCTTATCCTTTCGTATAAAAAAAGACTTCTAAACAAATAAAACTTCTTCACGGTTGATTCTAACACTCTTCTCAAGCTGATGAATGAATATTCTAATTCCCAACTTATTTTTCTTGAAAAACCTTCATTTTCAGCCCCTTTGTGAGCATAGCCGCCAACTGATCCTTGGTAGAGATGAATTGGGTACAAATTAGACTAATGTTCAATTTTTTCTTAATGAAATGCTTATCAACTTCAATATGTTTTGTCCGCTCATACTGAACAGGATTGTGAAACAATATTTGATAGTTGATTTATTATTACAGTAAAGCCTCATGGGTCATTCCCACTTTTTCTGAAGTCATCTAAGATTATCTTTACCCAGTGTAAGTCACATAATCCTAAAATCATCCATCTAAATTCTGATTCAACGCTTGATCTTGTTACTACATTCTGCTTCTTACTCCACTAGGTTATAAGATTTCCACCTAGGATTGTAGAGCAACCCAATGTTGACTTTTTTCGACTAAAGACCATGCATAATCTACATCCGTATGTGACTCTAGTTTAATGTCTGAGTTCATTTGATGTTTGAACAAAAAAAAATTCCCGTGATGCCTTTCAAGTATTGTAATATAATGTTTATTGTTTTGAGATGTGATTCTTTCGGATTATGCATAGACTGGTTGACTACACTTACTGCAAAAGCTACAGTTGATCTAGCGTGTACGAAATAAATTAACTGTCTAACCAACATTTGATATGATCCTCTATCTATCATAGGTTCTTCTGGCGCATCACATAACCCATAATTAAACTTGATTGGTGTCCTAATTGGTTTATAACCAACCCATCTTTCCCGTTTCTTTCACTAAATTAAGCACATATTTCTGTTGAGATATGAATATTCCTTGCTTCGAACGTGCCACCTCAATGCCTAGAAAGTATTTCCATTTCCCTATCTCTTTAATGCCAAATTCCTTGAAAATATATTCTTTCTAGTTCTTTATTCCTTCCGTGTCATTACATGTAACTATAATGTTATCTACAGACACTAACAATACTCTAACCTTTCTAAAGTTCAAGGGTTTTATGAACAAGATATGATCACATTGACCTTATTTATATCCTGGTGAGATCAGTGACTTGGCAAACCTCTGATATCATACTCGTAGAGACTGTTTGAGCCCTACAAATTCTCTCATTTTTAGATTCAAAATCAGGAATGTATCCTTTCACCATCAACCTTATTTTGTACCTTTCAATTGTGTCAGTTGCCTTATATTTTATAGAGAACACCCATTTACATCCTACTGATTTCTTCCTACACGATAGTTCAATTATTTTTCATGTTTTGTTCTTCTCAAGGGCTGTCATTTCTTCCTTCACAACATCCTCACACTTCTCATTATCTAATGCTTCAGTTAGGTTTTTTTGGTAGGAGTATTGTTTGGAGATTGATTAGGAAAATTTTAAGATTTTGAAATAGGTTTTGGTAAGACATTAATGTAGAAAAGAGGTATATTCAGAGAAGAAGATTATTTCTCTGTATTTTTTTTTTATATGTTTTATTGATAAAAGTAATACCGATTTATAGGTTATAAAGAGAGTCTAGTCTAGGAAAAATTACACAAAATCAACAGCTACAATATTATTAAATGACAATAGCACAAAATTAGCACGACGTTATCTAAATTAGCACGACTATAAACTGATTGTTGAATATAAATAGAAGATTCAAACATCAAACCCGGTGCTATTGTTGTTTATTTATACGATGTACTAGATAATTTGTTGAGATTTATATGATTGCATGAATAAGTCTTAGGGACAGTCAAAATATTCGAACCCGATGCGTTTCGACTCACTCGATCTTATAGAGGTAGATTTCTCCCCCTGAAATTTTGGGGTTCGGGCCGGCCGAGGGGGGCTATATAGTGTATAACTTTGGGGTGGAGCTAGGTTTAAGGGGAAAAACCCGACCCGATATAAATTATTAATTTATATATATATCTTAGGGATTTTGTTTTTATATTATTAAAATATATTCTTTAATCATTAAAAATATAAACATTATTATAAAATAAATTATTTTAACTATTTAAAATATAATAAATATATTATTACAAAATATATTATTTTAATTATTAATATATTCAGATCGAATTTGGTTGGGGTCTGGGTTTTAACCTAAAAATCGGGACGAGAGAAAAGCTAAAATTTATCGGGGCTGGACGAGGTCGAATATAAAAAGAATATTTTCGGGTCGAGGACAAGACGACAAAAAAGCCAGCCCGACCCGCCTCATGCCCATCTCAAATAAGTCCTAGAGGTAAACTAGAATCGTGAAAGATAACACAAATTTAAGAATTTTAAAAAGAATATGGTAAACATGTTTCCCTTAACGATGATTAATGATACTATCGAGTGGTGTTCAAATAATTGTTGATAAGCATGATAATTATGGTTTGGTTGTAACACAAGTATAGACTCGTGTCTCTGTACTTATATTTATCTTGCATGCTTATATCTATGAACTGTGTGAATTATAATAAAATAGAAATGTGTCACTAGACTTGCAAAGTTCAATATTCAAATATTTTCATTCGTAGGTTAGTAGATGAGAGTTTGTTCCTAAGTAGTATCGTCATTGCAGGACTTCCAATAACATCAGTCAGAAGACAATAATTGATTGTTTTAGAAAGTATGTGTATTCATAGAACCCTTATTCGTATGTCGGTATGTAACTCTACAATTATTTTGAATACTTTGATTTATACTAAATCATTACGGGGCCCCGATTTTATATAAACATTTTGTAATTTATTAGTTATTTAATTATGATGATATGAAATTGTCAAAATCGTGTTTTAAAAGATTCAAATTTAGTGATTGTTTCGGTGGTTCAGTATGACATTGTAGTCCCGCCATTTATAACGAGTTGGGTTTAAGGTGTTACATATATAAGATATGTCAATTAAACATATTGTATAGTGGTAAAAAAAATTGGGTAAAGTACATCAAAGATAATTGAACTATACTCAAATGATCGTTATAGTCACCGAGATTTCAAATGTTACAAAATAGTCATTAAATTTTATTAAAATGTTATAAAATAATCATTAAATTTCATCGAACTGTTACAAAACAATCATTAAATTTATAAAAAAAAATTACAATTATTATGATGTCACAATGATTATTTTATAACAATCTGATAAATTTAATCACCATTTTATAACTTGTAAGAGTTTAGAGATCAAAAAGATCATTTAAGCATAGCTCAATGGTCTTCCCTTTTCTTAAAAGTTTCAATTGAGTTTGATAAAGTAAAAAAAAACAAACTTATTAATAATATATTAAACCAAATTAATACATAAGTCAATCAACATACCAATATATAATCTAAAAAATTAACATAAATTAGATTAAACTTTCACACAAAAAAGGAAAAGAATCTAGATTTCGTAATTTCATCTTCCTACTTCATTTCCCAAGTAACTAGCATTTCAAAATATATATATATATATATATATACCAAGTCAAAAACTTTAATGGGCTCACTTAATCATATGGCTTTGGCATATCTACCCTTTAGCTTTAAAAGCATAGAAATCACGAGTTCCCTTTTTTCATGAACAAGTTTGCAGTTCCATACTAAACACCAGATCTACGATTGAGGGGCAAAAGGAATTTGCAACATTGAAAAAAGATAAAGTAATGTCTTCAAAAGCAATTATTTATCTTATAAAGTTGTCTAAGTGCAGTTTTTCTTTAAAAGAAAAAATGCATGGCAGCTAGCTGTTGTTCATCCTAACTTGTAATTAACACAATGAATATGCTTTAATCTGCTTTACTGATCATGTGACTCACGTCTCAAAGGCTGGTTTAAATGGAAACTGAATCCATCCTTGAGAGTTGCTATATGAAATAGATTTACAGACTCGATTCTTCCCACTTTCAGTTTCAGTTTGAGCAACTTAATTGG